GAATCAACCCTGAGTGCTCACTGAAAGGACAGATCCTGAAGCTGAGGCTCCAATACTTTGGCCATCTCATGAGAAGAGAAGACTCCCTGGAAAAGACCCTAATGTTGGGAAAGTATGATGGCAAGAGGAGAAGGGGAAGACAGAGGATGAGATGGTTGGACAGGGTCACCGAAGCGACCAACGTGAATTTGACCCAACTCCGGGAGGCAGTGGAAGACAGGAGGGCCTGGCGTGCTCTGGTCCACGGAGTCAAGAAGAGTCAGACACAAATTAAGGACTAAGCAACAACAACAACATGTGAACCTGGAATGGTTCATTTCCCATTGGGGGGAGACTCTTGGTGTGGGCTCTGGAGCTGCACCGGATAAGCTTTACCCCATCTATCCTGGACGGAGGAGGTCTACAGCCATCCTTCCTCAAGCTAGATGATGGCCATCTTCTCTGGCAAAGATGGGCATGTTTGGCTTTCACTACGGGCGTGTGCCAGGTTAGAAAATAACTGATAAACAGGACCCAGCTGCCATTCCCAGGGGGGGGGGGGGGGAATAGAACCAGGAAGACTGAACTTAAGAGGGATTGAGTTCATAGAGCAAGTGGTTCCCAACCTTCAGTCCCCAGAATCTTTTTCCAACTAGCTGTGCTGGCCAGGAGTTGTAGTAGATTTATCTCGATGGGCGGGATTAAAAACCAAATAAATAGATAGATATAAATAGGAACATATGGAGACCCATAGTTGGGAATTACTGCCACAGAGGAATCCACACCTTCTTTTACTGAGTCAGGAAAACGAGCATTTTCGCTGCTGGAGTCAGTTTTTGTGTTCATAGCTCCATCATTGTTTCTTTTCACCTCTTATATCAAGGTGGGTGACTTCCTTTCTTCCTTTTTTTTAAAGGAACAGACAACTCCATGCGATAAAATGATATTGGATTTGTCACCCATTTTCTCCTTCAACTCCTTTTTGACGATCGACCCCCCTCGTCCTTGGGATGCTTCAAAGCCTTTTTTTTCATCCACGCGCCTACCACCAATGGTCCCTTGGAGGCTTCAAAAGAGGTTTGAAAGCGTTTGTAATTGAATCACTGAAACAGGCAAGCTTTAGAGGAAAAGGCCATCTTTAACACACACACATGCGCGCACACACACATCACGGCTTGAGTAATACGCCAGGACGAAAATAGCTTCCAGTGATAAACAACCATGTGCTTAACTTGTAGCTCCAAAGAGGGAAAAAATGGTTCTCACTGATGAGTCAACCAATACTTTCTAGATTCCACTCTTCATTAATTGCACCCCGTTAAATAACTCCAAATGGAGGAAAGTACAATGCCAAAATAGAGGTGTAGAGATTTGTGTTTTCGGATAGCCATGGGGCTTTCAGGTTTCTTAGATGACTAATCCCATGACTCTCCATTGTAAGAGGTCTACCCAAGAGGTCACCATAACCTAGGCAAAAGGAAAAGCTTCCCCTTGACCTTGAGTCCAGTTGTGTCTAACTCTAGGATGTGGTGCTCATCCCCGTCTCCACGCCGTAGAGCCAGCGTTTTGTCTGTAGACAGTTTTCGTGGTCATGTGGCCAGCGTGGCCAGACATGGAACACCGGGACCTTCCCACCGAGGTGGTACCTATTTATCTACTCTCATTTTTACATGCTTTCGAATGGCTAGAGCTCCCTCTGTTGCCTGGATTTGATCTTACGACAGCTGGTCTTCTGATCGTGCAGCACAGAGGCTTCTGCAGTTTAATCCGCAGCGCCACCACGTCCCACTACAAGTGCCTAAATGTGCCTCACCTGGAAGAAAGGCCAAGCTCCGCCCTGGCTTCCTTCCTGTGCAAAAAAAAGGGGGCGAAACTCCCAGCTAGCAATGGGGCAGCCTTCCACAAAGACTGGTGGCCCATAGAAAGACCAATAAGTTGTCACTCAAGGGGAGGAGACCAAGATCTGATGTTTGGGCCTAGGGTGAAAAGCCTCCTGTTGACCCCCATCCCACTTCCTCCATGGCACCCACATTTTTCAGAATATATTTTGAAAAAAAGAAAGCCGTCGTGGTGGAGGGGCGGAATGGCAGCCTAGGACTCTGGAGATCAGGGTTTCGAACCCCCTGCTCAGCCACGGGAACTCATGGGGGAGTGGCGGGAAAGGGAAGTCACTCCTGAAACATCTCACATGCTTTGAAAATGTTGCCAAGGTCCCCCGAAGTCAGAAGTGGCTTCGTGGCACCCATTTCAAAAACCACGTTTCCGGCTGTGTGGACATTTTCCTGTGAAGTCTCCTGGGTCGGTGTTTCCCAGCTTCATGCTTTCTTACCTGCTTGTATTTTTTTAGTGTAAGGACAGTTTTGTGCATGCGACACGAGTCTTCTGAGCACAGCAATACCGGGAGTGGGGGGTGGGGGGAGACAAGGTGTGCTTTGTCTCAGGAAGGAAAAAGAAGAGACACAACATGGAAGCTTCAAGGCCTTTCTTGAAAATCTCTGCAAACGTCTCTTCTGGAACTAATAATACTAGCCCCTTCTGGCAAAACAACCAGGTATTATGTGAAACAATATTTAACTTATATGCATGATACATCGTGCGAAAGGCAGGACTGGAGGAATCCCCAGCCGGAATCAAGATTGCCGGAAGAAATATCAACAACCTCAGATATGCAGATGATACCATTCTGATGGCAGAAAGTGAGGAGGAATTAAAGAACCTCTTAATGAGGGTGAAAGAGGAGAGCGCAAAAACCGGTCTGAAGCTCAACATAAAAACAAAACAAAACTAAGATCATGGCCACTGGTCCCATCACCTCCTGGCAAATAGAAGGGGAAGATATGGAGGCAGGGACAGAGTTTATCTTCTTGGGCTCCATGATCACTGCAGATGGTGACAGCAGCCACGAAATTAAAAGACGCCTGCTTCTTGGGAGGAAAGTGATGATGCTTTTGAATTGTGGTGCTGGAGGAGATTCTTGAGAGTCCCCTGGACTGCAAGAAGAACAAACCCCTCTGTTCTGAAGGAAATCAACCCTGAGTGCTCACTGGAAGGACAGATCCTGAAGCTGAGGCTCCAGTACTTTGGCCATCTCATGAGTAGAGAAGACTCCCTGGAAAAGACCCTGATGTTGGGAAAGTGTGAAGGCAAGAGGAGAAGGGGACGACAGTGTCTTCAGAGCTACCAAAACAAATTTGACCAAACTCCTGGAGGTAGTGGAAGGCAGGAGGGCCTGGAATGCTCTGGTTCATGGGGTCACAAAGAGTCAGACATGATTTAACAACTAAACAAAAACAACAAGGTGAAACAAACACGAACATCCACGCACCCACCACTCAAAGTAACCTCTTCATCATTATCTAACTCCTCTTTCCAGCATCTTTCCAGTGGCTGCCTTCCTGCCCTGCTTTCTATCTGAACATCTGGTAGGCTACTGAAGGAACAGAACATCTGGACCAGAAACCTTTCACCTCCTGGGCCTCTATGCTTGTGTTGATGGCGTATTACCGATGGTGGCATAACACATCTCAGAGGTAATTTCCAGCTAATTTTCAAGGACCACTCAAACACCCGGAGGAAATATAAATACAGCTGTCTCCTGGCATCAGCCTCGCCACCGACCGGGCAGGTCTGCAGGCGGCTATTGACATGCCGTCGGCAGGCAGGGCAGGAGAGAACCATGTAATTAAGCAATCAGCCACTTAATGGAGGTGGCGCAGTCAGAAGCGAAGAACAAGATCGTGTTGGAATGACTGGAGGAAGAGGCGGAGGGAGAAGGGTGGACCTGTGTTTGTGTGTAGATAAAAACTGCATGTCACCTCGCACACATGGCTTTGTAGACAAGGAATGGAAACCCTGATTTAGGCGTATTTGGAAAATACGGGGCGCTTTTCCTATATAGGAGCTGGTGCGCCCCTGGAGGGTCCAAGAGTCTTTTAAAGAAAAAAACGGTCTTCAGACTCTTGTCTGCTCCTGACTAAAAGGATGGACTTCATTAAAAGCTAATTTATTAAGACCAGGACAATGAATCAGTAAACGCAATCTCGGGTATGGATGTGATTTTTTTTTTCATTTGCCACAAATTTGGAGGTGTTTTCCCATTCCTTCCGGGAGGCACGCAGGTCACGCCAGGATTTCCATGCCAGTTGTGAGGAGAAATGTGACCAACCACACAAAACATCACAGTCCTGTGCAGGAAACCGAACGCTGGGCCAATGGGGAAATCCTACGCAGGACCTCCCAAAACCCTGTGCAGGATTTGCCCAGAAAGAAACAGGTGCTCTTTTGATAGCTAGGAATTCCTGGCAAAAAGAAGAGCAAAGGAAGACAATCTCTCAGGAATCCAGGAGAAGAAAACCAGGAATATTTATGTTCCGAGCCTAGTAGGAATTCAAACAGAATAGGCCCAAATAATAAGCATTGGCGTCGTGGATCCACCCACTCAGGAACTGACCATTTTTGTTCGTTTGTGTCCTCCCCACCTTTTCTACAGGGCTATGCTCACCCCTGGGATGTAGACCCAAGGGAAGATGCTGCCTGAGCCAACAATATCGCCCCTCCCTTTTCTAAACCAGAGGTGGGGAATCACCATGGGGGTGTCTGATGATACCCTCCCACAATCCCATAACTAGCACAGAGGCTGTTAGTTTTGGGATTCTGGAGTCCTAAAGAAGTACGTTTCCTCCCTCATGTCTTTTCTCAACAATGCCCTGGTCTGCTAAGGAGAAGCTAGGCACCCTAGAAGGGTCTATAACCATAGGTTTGGGGACCTCTGATAAGCATGGCAGATCCATTTCTGGAGGGGAAGATCCAGTGCCTTCAATCTGGTACCCTTCGCTAGATAAGAAGCATGGGGCCTTCTTTGGCTCATGGGGAGATTTCCCCCCTGCCAACAGAGGCTGGATGTAATTTTCCTTCTCTTTCTATCCTTTTCATGCCCAGTGTGACTCTGTATCACCTCTGGTTGCTAGGAGACTCTCAGGGGGTCCAGAGGCGGTTGCTAAGCACCCAGGCCTGGAGGGGTCTAAGGGCACAAGCATCCAGGGAGAAAGGCTGGAGGGCTCTTTCCATCCACCATCCCACACCTGCTCAAGCTTTTTCCTTCAGGGACGATGCCACAGCTTCTGAAGGGTAGGGCTGGACTGTACAGCCAGGTCTGTCCCCAGGGACCAAACCGTGCTAGATATTTCAAGTGTATGAGGTTCCCCCTTGTTCTGTGACACTCAACCGCAGAACCTAAGACAAGGGAGGGGGTGTAGGTCCTTAGGATGCTGGAGGAAAGGGTCCTCGTGGTGTCACAGAGAGACTCTTGTGAGTTCACAAAGATGGTTCAAGGAAGGGTTAGGAGGAGGGATGGAAGGAACTGCTGGATAGGTCAGTGGTTTAAGTACCAGAGGTTGGGAGTTTGATTCCCCATGGTGCCTTTTTGAAAGGGGCTGGACTGGATGGTCTATGAGGTCCCTATCAGCTCTAAGATGAAGTTGACGACTGATTGATTGATTGACTGACTGAATTTACATGGATAAGATATTCATTTCTAGAAAGCTGGAAAGAGGAGGATAGACATCCTCAAGAACCCCCCCCCTTTTAAGGTGTTCTAGATGAGAATGCATGAGGGCAAGAGGAGAAGGCGACAACAGAGGACAAAATGGCTGGATAGGATCACCAAAGCAACCAACATGACTTTGACCCAACTCCGGGAGGCAGTGGAAGACAGGAGGGCCTGGCAGGCTCTGGTCCATGGAGTCACGAAGAGTCAGACACGACTTCATGACTAAACAACAACAAAGATGAGAATGTGTGTCTCTCCCAGCTAGTGGCTCTTAATATTCCATATTTTTGTCCCTGGGGTTACAGTTTTCATTGCCCGATCTCTCCCATGGCTGGCCCTGCGGACCACCCAACGAAGACCGAAATGGAGCCGGATGGCACCCAAACTCTGAAGAAATGCATCCGAGAAGGTAAAGCTGTCTCTCCCCCCAGCCTTTCAGGGAGAAATGCTTCCTCATGCTTGTAAAAGCCTTGGGCTGGATCAAGCTATTTCGCTCCTGGAAATAACGGATAAAGATAGGCACACATACAAGGATCCAGCCCTCGTGAACCGAGATACAACCCTGAAAGCTCCCAGCCTAAGACAGGGTTTCTACCATTACATACGACACACTTAAGAAACACATGCCCTACTTTCTGGATAAGGTAGGAAAGATGTAATGAAATGCAAAATTACATGAGGTTATTGGGTTTTGGTGGTGGGGGGTTTGCACACAACAGAGTTTTTCTGTGTGCAAAAGAGTCATAAATTGATTCACAGAAAAAAAATCCTAGAAGTTGAAATAAACACAAAAATGTTTGCAGTATTACCAGCAGGGAAGTGTTTCACCCCCATCCGCAGGAATAAAATACAAAGTGTGGACTTGTGTCAATGATCATCCTCCTCCTGATGTACTGTCAATTCAAGTCTGACTCATAGCAACCCATTTCAGGGTTTTCCAGATAGAGAATGCTCAGAAGTGGTTTTCCCTTCCCTTTCTCTAGGGGGCACTTCTGGGACTGGTCCTTACCAGCAGGGAAGTGTTTCACCCCCATCCGCAGGAATAAAATACAAAGTGTGGACTTGTGTCAATGATCATCCTCCTCCTGATGTACTGTCAATTCAAGTCTGACTCATAGCAACCCATTTCAGGGTTTTCCAGATAGAGAATGCTCAGAAGTGGTTTTCCCTTCCCTTCCTCTAGGGGGCACTTCTGGGACTGGGCCGCTGGCCCAAGGCCACCCAGGCTGGCTCTTCTCCCAGGAGGCCCCGCGGGGGAATCGAACTCCCAACCTCTGGCTCAGCAGCCAGAGACCTAAACCACTGAGCTATCCTCCAGTCCCTCTTAGGTAGGTTTAAAAAACAAAATGAAAACAAGGGTGTTGTGGATCAGTCCTAAAATCAAATAAGGCTGCTTGTCATAATGGCCACATGAAACCTCTCTCTATATATAACTATAACTATATAACTATAACTATAACTATTATATATAACTATAACTATATAACTATATATAACTATAACTATAACTATATAACTATATATAACTATAACTATAACTATATAACTATATATAAAACTTATATATATACATGCAGATACACACACACACACATACACACACACACACAAAGTTTCTGGGATCTGTGGTTCTTAAAAATCTAACTTTCCGAGGTTCTGGACTGTGCAGAAGTTCCTTCTTTGTTTTCTGCACTCTGTTCCAAAATTCAACCCCTTATTTGCCCCTGCAGGTATCAAGAATTTGTATGAGACTCAACAGCTCTGTGATGTCACCTTGGTGGTCGATGGAAAAAGGTTCCCTTGTCACAGGTACACATCCCTGGATAACACGTCCTCTGCCCGGAGAACTCAAACACCTATTAAAATACAAAGGCTCAATTCCTCCTTTTACAATGTTATCCCTCTGGGCACGCCAGTCTTTCAGTGCCACCAGGCCCAAGGCATCCAACAAAGCTGAGCTCTCTCCCTATTACCAAAATGCTTGCCAAATACAGACTGAAATGGCTTAATAAGATGCTGAACCTCAGATCGGGGAAGGGGTGAGCACTGAGCACATTGGAGAACTCCTGTAAAGTTCGGACAAAAACCCAGAGCAGATTCACTACCCCAGCTGCTACACAGCCTATACTGTTTCACTCTGCTACCACCTTCTTCTCTCTTCCCCTCCAGACCACTCCTGGCCTCCATCAGCCTTTATTTCCAGCGCATGTTTGCCAGCACCTTTAAGGAATCCCGGGAAGGAGAAGTTTTTCTCATGGATTTGTCAGCCACTTCTCTCCAGAACCTCCTAGGGTACATCTACATGGGAGATCTCCTGCTTCAAGAGGCACAGGCTGAAGAACTGTTTGTAGCAGCCAGCAGACTTCAGATTACTCCTGCCTTGGAGATTATCACCAGGTAATAGAGAAGTTCTGTGCGTCTTTGAAAGTGGTGGGTAGGAGAAATGTGGCTCATTGTGTCTCTGACTATCCGCTTCCGGTGGCTCGAGCTGATGGTTTGCTTGTCTCCCCCAGAAACAGAATAAACGATGCACTCACATTCTGGCCCGTTATTTTTCCACGGCAGCAAAAAAAGCGAATGTGATGCCGTTTATTAACGCAAGGCGATTATCAGCCGACATTAGGAACAGAGCAGGGTGGAAAGATTTCTAAACTTATTCATGGTAGGTGTTGGATGCTGACTTCTGTGTCTGCAGGCTCACCTCTCCCAACAAAATGGCACAGCCACAAGAAACAGGAAATGCTCTCAGAGAACAGGAGGAGGAAGGAGTGCCTGAGAGTAGCAGTCTACACATAGGTTTTAGAGACGGGAAGAAACCCATCTCGGTTGTCTAAATTGCTGTCACTTCGACCACAGATGAAGGTCACTCCTGATATGTGTTGATGTTCTGCTCCAGCATGGTGGAGAAAACGGGGCTGGAGAAGGAAACAACGCATTTTGGCTCCCCACCAAGTAGTAACCAGTCATGGCCTGCCTCCTCATCTGGAGGAACCATGGAGTGACTGTGGTCAGTGCCCATTGATAACAATGTTCTCATTTCAACTCAGATTTGGTAAGATGACCACTACCACGTCTAAGGCAGGGGATGCCGTAAATCAGTCACACCCACCAAACATGGTCAGATTGCTTCTGATGTCACACAGCCTTGTGAATTAATTACCCCTGAAAGTTCCTGGCATTAACAGCTCCTGCCAACACGGGGACGTGGCTTCCCTTACTGAGCCAATCCATCCCACGTTCAGCCTTCCTCTTCTCTTACTATCTTCCACTTCTCCTAGCCTCGTCGTCTTTTCCAGTGAGTTTTGTCTTTTCTGGATATGGCCCAAAGATGACGGCCTTTGTTTCGGGGCCCAGTGGGAGTTTGGGCCTGATTCCATGGAGAAGCCACTGATCTGTCTTTCTGATGATCCGTGGTATCTGTAAAGCTCTCCTCCAGCACCGTATCTGAATGAATTGATTCCCTGTCACTTCCCCCCCCCCATGGACCACACTCACATCTGTGCACAATATGGATTTTCTTGGCCTTGGTCTCCAGCAAAATATTTGTGAGCATCATTTCAGCCACTTCGCAGCTGTAGCACATAACAGGAACACCTATTGTTTTTTTCTTGGAAAGAGTTTTTTGAGGTGCGAGAATGCTACTCTCAGACTGCAGAATTCAGCAGCAGCAGCAAAAACAATATCCCCACATGTGTTGTGAATTTTTTTTAAAATCCATCCTGATGTTGTGAAGTTTTAAATTTCTGGTTAAATCCTTTAACTGTGCAGAGATTCACAGAGCAGAATATTGCCAAGTTCCCTTGTCTCATCAACTGGCACTTATTGTCTCCATCACTCATTCTGAGATATTAGTAGGAGAAAGGCTAAATGGTTTCATTACTTACAAATGAACAAATCAAACAGCAAACTGACAAACATGTCTACTTTCAGCGACAGACTTCAACAGAATCACTGGTCACCTCCCACAGAGAAAGGGGAGAAGGGGAGCCCTGAGCAGAGAGGCGGGCTCTGTTTGAATTCAGAGGTAGGGAAGGAACAATTGGTTAACGCTGAATGGATTGACAGTCCAATCAGCCAGAAAGGTCCTTCTCAGCCAAACCTTCTCCAGGCAGCATGCAAGGTTATGAACACCCCAACACCTAACTTGAATGAGATTCAACGCCACAGATAACCCTGAGTCCAGATAGTGATGAGAAAGAACATAAAACTCTTTGCACTGCTTATTTTCTTGAAAACGTATGTATTTCCACCGGATTTAACCACACATTCCGTCTGTGGCTCGTTGCAGATTCCTCATGGAGAGAATTTCCATGGAGAACTGCCTGGGGCTGTATGCGTTGGCGTATTCCCACAACCACCAGCCTCTCCTTTACGCTATGGCGTATTCCCACAACCACCAGCCTCTCCTACGCCCCGCTTTACGCTACGTGGCCTTCCACTTTGAGCACCTCTCTGAGGAGGCCTGTTTCCTGTCCGTGGACTTCCACGCCCTGCTCAGCATCCTCACCTCCGACTGCCTTGCGGTGGCTTCTGAAGCGACGGTGTACCGGGCCGTGCGCCGCTGGGTGCAGCACAATCCAGACGAGCGCCTGGCCAAGCTCCCCTTGCTGATGGATCACGTCCGCCTTCCCCTCCTGACTCCCGAGGAGCTTGCCGAAGTCCGGGTAGAAACCGAGGAGCTTTATGAGTGTGTCCGGCTGCCGTGGGAGGAGCTCGGTGTGTCGGAAAGGCTGTGGGCGAGCCGAGGGCTGAGGAAAGGCATGTACCACGACGGCGTGGTCTGCGTGGGCCTCCCGAAATGGAGCGACGTGAACGTGGGGGGCGAGGAGCTAGATTCCCATGTCCACTTCTTCGACCCTTGCACCGAGCAGTGGGAGCAGCTCCCTGACCTCAGATCCTTGATCTCTCCCAGCTGCGTCTCCACGGGCCACAAACTCTACGTGGCCGGTGGCCAACACTTGGATGGGTGCTATTCAGAGAGCCTGCTTGTGTACGACACCATTGGGGGCTTCTGGTCGCCGCTTCCCTCCATGTCCACTGCCCGAGCTGGCCACGCTCTTCTCCTGTGTGAGAAAAAGTTGTACATCGCTGGTGGCTGGGATACCACGGGGACGCTGGTCAGCGCAGAGAGTTACGACCTGGAACGAGAGACGTGGGCGGCCATCACTGACCTTCCGTTCGCCTTGGCTTATTTTTCCTCTACGACACTCGGGAGCAATTTGTATCTAATTGGCGGAGAAATGGGGGATGCCGACCCCGCAGTGCCCCATAAGGGATTCCTAGTTTATGAGGTCGGGTGCGGGGAATGGTCCCAGATCTCCACAGACTTTGAGTGTTACGAGGCCAGCGCCATCCCCGTGGGCGACTCCATCTTTGTGGTCGGAGGGCTCACGGGAGACGACCGACAAGGAAACCGCCAGTTCACGTCACGCTGCGCTTACCTCCACCAGGACGGCACCCTGAACCGCGAGGTCTCCGTCCCGCCGCTCCCCGTCGCCATCTCTTACCCGGGGGTGGTGCGTTGGAAGAAGAGGATTTACGTCTTTGGAGGCGACCGCAACAATCTCTACTCCAGCGCCATCCACTTCTGGGAGCCCGGTCAGCCGAATTGGACCCAGTGTTCGGCAGTCTTGCCCGATCCCAATTATGGGGCGTTTGGGTTCAGCTGCGTGCCCCTCAAGGTGCCCCGGGAAAATATCCTTGCCGTTTTCCACAGAGGATCGACCCCCTCCGCGGACGGTCATGGAGAAGATGGTTAGCTCCCCTGCCTTGCAGCCTGGTTTTGGGTTTGTGAGTGTGTCGTGTTTCTAATTCATGAATTAACTCAAAAAAATCTGAATTTATGGACCTGGAAAGCTCTTTGGGATTGGGTGATAGAAAGCTGGGGATCGCTGTCCTGGCTTTGCCATCCTGCGAATCTTTTTCAACCCCTCTGTCTCTTTTTGGGGATCTCTCTGACCTCAATGGGTTCAAGATTTATCACAGGCCAAAGGCCACACCTCAAAGATCTGTTTAGAGCCCTCAGCAAAACAGACTTTCCATTTCCCTCACACAGGGCCAGCCCTGCCTATGGCCAAAGGGAGGCGGTCGCCTCAGGCGGAGAAACGGTAGGGGCGGCAAAGGCATCACAGTGCAGCCTCTGTGGTTCCCCTTCATTCCGCCCATAGAAGCTTGTATTTTGCCCCATTTCTGACCAGCGCTTCTCCACTGGCTTCCAGTAAAACGGGCCAGGGCCTTGAAATAAGACCTGACTGAAACAGGTCCTTGGAAATGAGAAAAAAGGTTAAAAAAAACAGGCCACCCCCAATAAAATGTATTAGTCGAGCTCCTGTGAAAACCTGTTTTCTTCAAGAAGCCCTCCAGCGTCACTAGAGCTGGTGGTGTGAAATGGAATACAGGAACAAGACTGGGCTGCCATCACCCATTTAACACATAAAAGGGATGCAGGATGGGGGCAAATACAGTGGTGCCCCGCATAACGGGCGCCCCGTTTAACAAAGAATCCGCATAGCGATGGCTTTTTTGCGATTGCAAAAGCGATCCCATTGCGATGTTTCAAATGGTAAAACATCGCTTTGCGACGATCGGTAAGCTGTTTCGCTGACTGATTTTCGCATGGCGATGTTTTTTCTAACAGCTGATCGGCGGTTCCAAAATGGCCGCCGGGTTAAAAAATGGCCGCCCGCAGTGTTTTCGCGCCTTTTCTTCGCTTACTGGGCAGCGAAAATCACGGCTGTATGGAGGATTTTCTCATAACTGTGACTTTTTTGCCCATAGGAACGCATTAAACGTGTTTTAATGCATTCCTATGGGCTTTTTTGTTCCGCATAGCAACAAATCCGTATAGTGACGATATTTCTGGAACAGATTATCGTCGCTATGCGGGGCATCACTGTAGTGTGGCAAGGAGAATGAGAGACGAGATTCTGTTCTTTCTTGGACCAAAAATCCCATAATCTTCCATTCTGGGGATCCTACTTGACAAGCACCTTCCAGAACCTAAATATGGCTCACCAGGGAGAAAAGCCTCAACTGGAAGACTTCGGGGCTGAGCTAGGCCTAATTTCCTCTGTGGCTGAGCTAGGCCTGGCTCCACCCTAGCTTCCTGTTCCTGCCCCAGTGCTCTTTTGGGAACTTTCCTTCTGAGATTGCAGGTGAACTTGTCCACCCAAACTGAGTTCCTTTTTTGTACTAAACATCTCCCCAAATCTGCTTTTGCCAAGTCCTTCCACTCGTATGCTTCCTTGGCAGTTCCTGCAGGGCTGTTGAGAAGAGGAGAAGTGGGGAATTTCAATTTTCCACCCTGTTAGGGGTGTTGGATTGCAAGGCTGCGCAGATGAAGCCACACCGTGGTTCCAGCTTGATCCTCATACCTGACAATGTGGCTTTCATGAACAGTGAAAGAATCAGCCAAAATGGTTGGAAAAGGTCATTGCAAGGCCTCCCTTATTATAACAGAGCCGCCCAGATCCTGAAATATAGATGGAATCCCACTGTAACGAGTATCCATACTCTCCACAGTTAAAACAGCCTGATACCACATTGGGTGCCTTAGCTGCATCCTAAGGAATGCTGGGCTTTGTAGTTCAGTGAGGAACTTCCTGTTAGAGCGCCTTAGCTGCATCCTAAGGAATGCTGGGCTTTGTAGTTCAGTGAGGAACTTCCTGTTAGAACACTTCAGTGTCCTTCCCTCAACCACATCGGGGAACTCAAAGGACTATGACTCCCATGATCCGATGGAGTCAAGCTGTCCTGACTGGGGTTTCTGGGAGTTGCAGTTCAAAAGCATCCGAGTAACAAAGGTTAAGAACCACTGCTTTAGTGTCCTTCCCTCAACCACATTGGGGACCTCAAAGGACTACAACTCCCATGATTCCCTGGGATGGAGTCACCACATGCTATCCTGAACTGTGTAGCGTTGCAGGGAGGGCTGGTGGCGATGCCAGAGTTGCAGGAGGCGATTGACTCTGTCCCTTCCGTGTTTCGATCCAAACTTTACAGGAGCTCTCCGGGTGCTATCTGAGGTGTGGCCGGACCCTCATCCCACTCAACATTAGGTCCAGTGCCTCAGAAACTACCTTTAAAGTTCAGACTCGGCCCTGGAGAGGATCCGCTGAAATCAGTACCCACAGCCTCCCACTGTCGTGTGGATGTATGCTAATACCTCCTTTCTGGTTTTTCGCCCTCTCTGATTATATTGTCCATGAGCACAGCATCAAACTGTCGGCAGGATGCAGTTTATTTTTCCTTTCGCCCCCTCTGATTATATTGTCCCCGAGCACAGCATCAAACTGTCGGCAGGATGCGGTTTTTTTTTTTCTTGGAAAGGTGGTGGGTGGAGGGAAGAACAGTTTCCAGATTCCCTTCTACTCTTAGGCATAATTTTCATGTCCTTTTTGATGCTAGTTTTCTGCTCAGCCTCGCAGGCCTGAACAACCCAGGAATCTTGGTTGCCTCGGGAACTGGGCTTAGCGGGGTGGCCTATACGCTCTCTCTCCAGCCTAAATTTGTTTCTCTTTGCCCATTCAGAAATCGCCCTCCGTTCCTTGAGAGGCAGTGTGGTGGAGTGGGTACAGCGTGAGGCTAAAATGTCAAAACATCATGCTGGGTAGTGCGAGGGTGTCGTCCAAAATGGAAAAATTACCAGGTCTGTCCAGCAATTGTTAGTTTTTTAAAAAAAGGCCTCAGGCTGAAGGAGAACCCATCGGTATGTCCAGAGCCTGGGAAATCAATTTTTTAAAAGTTGCCTTCATCAATACTGTAAAAAAAGGTCCTCCAATGCCTTTCTGTTATAGTCACTTTCACAGTCCCATTAAAATAAAATATTATTTTAATAAAAATATTAAAAATATAAAATAAAATATTATTTTAACACCATGATCTTTATATACAATATAAAATAAACAAATGTGCCTTATTTCTTTTAATTGAGACCCAAGGTGGCTAACAAGCAGCAGCCCTTTAAGAGTAACTTTTGAAAAGTAACTAGATGTCACTACAAGTACAACCAAAGAACATGTCTGTCCAGTTGTGGTACATATGGAGGAACACGGTAACCACATGTTACCCCCAAGTAACTAGAGCTATTGGTAATTATGTTACTTGTAACTAGTTATTTCAGAGTTCTGATTATAGTTACTTTCAAACTCTGACTTCCTGAACCCAAAAATTCTGCAGT